ATTATTGCTCCCACAAACTATTTCAATTGGTCATATGTAATCTTTAATGCATCTCATATAAGTTGACTTTAAAGTTAAAAATCTAAGGAGATGACTGAATATCTTTAAACAATTAAAATGTGAATTTTAATCATTATTTTGATAGGTTACATAAACCTAATAATAAATTGAACAATTATAATATGAATTTTCATCATTATTTTGATAGGTTACATACACCTAATAATAAATTGATCCTAGAGATACAAAATCGTGAAAATTTAATAAAAAGTTAAAACTGTGGAGTTGACATAAGTCACCATGTCCACCATGAAACTTTAACTTAAAATTCAACTTGTTTCGAAGAGAAAAAAAAAAAGAAAAGAGAATAAATTAGACCTAGTGAAATAGGTTAACAGTGAATCAAACCAAATTTCTTATCTTTATGAAGAATATGTGTGACACACATGGCTTGTTACTAGTTGGACTAAAAATTAGTTAGCTTGCCAGTTGGTTAATAATTAGTTAAAGATATACGCCCCGTTCTGCAGCACTATTTCAGCACTTCAACAGTACTTTTCAACGAATGAAAATGTTTTTTCTCTTACAACAAATCAGCATAAGCAGCAGCATTCTTATAAAACACTGACACAATAACAACAACAATATAGTCTTTCAGTCTCAAACAAGTTGAGGTAGGCTAGAGTTAAAACCCATCAAGAGCCCCAAGTCACGGTTCTGGCACTTCAATAGCTGTTTTCCAAGCACTCCTATTCAAACATAGATCTCTAGGTATATCTTAAACTGTCAAATCTCTTTTTATTGCCCCTTCCATGTCAATTTCAGTCTTCTTCTACCTCTCCTCATATTATTAGCTTGGCTTAGGACTCCACAATGTACTGGTGCCTTTGGAGGTCTCCTTTGAACATAACCAAACCACCTCAACAGATGTTGGACAAGCTTTTCTTCAATAGGTGCTACCCCTAGGCGATCACGTATATCATCGTTCCGAACTTGGTTCATTCTATGTGACCACAAATCTATCGCAACATACGTATTTCTACAATACTCAGTTGTTGAACATGTCGAATCTTTGTAGGTCAACATTATGCTCCATACAATATAGCCGGTCTAATCTTCGTTCTATAAAACTTGCCTTTTAGCTTTTGTGATACCCTCTTGTCACAGAGAATGCTAGAAGCTTATCGCCACTTGATCCACCCTACTTTGATTCTATGGCTAACGTCTGCATCAATATATCTATCCCTCTGTAGCATCGATCCTAGATACCGAAATGTATCCTTCTTAGACACTACTTGACCTTTCAAACTCACATCTCCCTCCTCCTATACAACTCCGCCAAAATCGCATCTCATATATTCGGTTTTAGTTCTGTTCAATCTAAAACCTTTAGACTTAAGGGTCTGTCACAATAACTCTAGTTTCCTATTTACTCCTGCCTAGTTTTCGTCCACTAACACTACATCATCAGCGAACAACATACACCAAGGGATATCCCCATATATGTTCCTGTTAACCTCATCCATTACCAAGGCAAAGAGATATGGGCTTAAGGCTAACCCTTGATGAAGTCCAATTTTAATCAGAAAGTAATTTGTGTTACCATCGTTTGTTCGAACACTAGTCACAATATTATTGTACATGTCCTTGATGAGAGTCACATACTTTGATGGGACTTTATGTTTGTCCAAAGATCACCACATAATATTTCTTGGTATCTTGTCATAAGCCTTCTCCAAGTCAATAAAAACCATATGGAGGTCCTTCTTCTGCTCTCTAAACCGCTCAAGAACTTGTCTTATTAAGAAGATTGCTTATGTGGTTGATCTTCTGGGTATGAAACCAAATTGGTTTGTTGATATCTACGTCATTCCTCACAGGCGCTGCTCGATGACTCTCTCCCATAGCTTCATAATGTGGCTCATCAACTTAATTCCTCGATAATTAGTATAACTTTGGATATCTCCCTTTCTTGTAGATTGGTACAAATATACTTCTCCATTTCTCAGACATCTTGTTCGATCGAAAGATATTGTTGAACATCTTGGTTAACCAAACTATAGCTATATCCCCGAGACATCTCCACACCTTGATTGTGATACCATTAGAACCCATCGCTTTGCCCCTTTTCATCCTTTTCAAGGCTTCTCTGACCTTCGATTCTTGAATCCTCCGCACAAAGTGCCTATTAGTGTCATCAAACGAGTCGTCCAGCTGAACAGTGGTGTTCTCGTTCTCACCATTGAACAATTTATCAAAATACTCTTGCCATCTATGTCTGATCTCATCCTCCTTCACCAAGAGCTGCTCCCTCTCATCCTTTATGCACTTGACTTGGTTGAAGTCCCTTATCTTCCTATCACGAGCCCTAGCCATCCTATAAATATCCTTCTCTCCTTCCTTCGTACTCAAACGTTGGTAAAGGTCCTCACAGACCTACCCCTTTGCCTCACTCACCGCTCGTTTTGCAGTCTTCTTTGCCACCTTGTACTTCCCTATGTTGTCTGCACACCTGTCATGATACAAGCGCTTATAGCACTCTTTTTTTTTCTTAATAGCCTTTTGCACATCTTTATTCCACCACCAAGTATCTTTCGAGTCACATCCGCTCCCTTTGGTCACTCCAAGCACCTCTGAACTAACCTTTCGAACGTATGTTGCCATCTTCTCTCACATGCCATTTGCATCGCCTTCATCCTTCCAAGGGCCCTCTTCAATGACCTTTTCCTTGAAGACCTTTGATGCCTTCCCTTCTAATTTTCACCACTTCGTTCTAGCAATCCTAGCTTATTTGTTCCCACGAGCTTGCACCAGAAAGCGGAAGTCAACCACCACTAGCTTGTGTTGAGCGACCACACATTCTCTAAGTATCACCTTACAGTCCACGTATGTTCATTTATCCCTCCTTGTAAGGACAAAGTCGATTTGACTAGAGTACTGGCCGCTACTAAAGGTCACTAAATGGGACTGTCTCTTACGAAATAAAGTATTAGCTATCATCAGATCAAAAGCTATAGCGAAGTCTAAGACTTCCTCTCCCTCCTGGTTCCTACTACCATATTCGAAACCCCCATGAACCGCCTCGAAACCTACATTTGATGTACCTACATGGCCAATAAGATCACCTCCTATAAAGAGCTTCTCGCTACTAGGGACAGCTCTAACTAAGCGATCGAAATCTTCCTAGAAAAGCCGCTTAGCACTCTCATCATGGCTTATTTGAGGGGCATACGTACTAATTACGTTTAAGAACATATCACTAATGACAAGTTTAACTAAGATGATCCTATCTCCTTTGCCTTCTCACCTCCACCACATCATCCTTGAGGCTCTTATCAATCAAAACTCCTACTCTATTTTTAGTTGAAGTTGTCCTTGTGTACCAGAGCTTGAAGTCGGTATTGTCCACCTCCTTCGCCTTCTACCCCTTCTATTTAATCTCTTAGACGCATAAGATATTTACACGCCTTCTAACTGCTATGTCCACTAACTCTCTTACATTACTCGTAAGGAAACCTACATTTCAGCTATCTAAACAGATCATAATTGGCTCGACTAGCTTTCTTACCCTTCGCACCTGCTGAGGTAGGTGTGAAGACCCTTACTCATTTTGCACCACACCCGGGCGCCGATGTGGCGTGCCACTAAGGATGCGATGACACGATCTTTGCTCACTTGACACCGTGCCCAGATCGCGACATGGTGCGTCACGGGGGTGACGACCCGGCCCTTACTCATTTAGCACCATACCCGGGTTCCAACATGACGCGTCGCTAAGAGTGTTACGCCCCAACGGGATTTTTTTTGGATTTCATCTCCGTAAAAGTGGTTAAGTTTTTACATTGGTTCACCGCGCCTAATACAACCCTTCTCAGCTTGGACCTGCAATGCTGCGACACCAAAAGCGGCCCCACCATAGGCAGAGTTTATAAATCACTGACACAGGGCCATAAAAATTAATGCACCTACTGGCTCTTTTGTTTAGATATACTAAACTAATTTAAATTAAAATTAGCTAACTAACAATTAGGTCTGTGGTATCAAACTAAGTCCTCACAAGAACTTCGTATAAAACACTGACGCAGTCAGGATAGCGCAGAGAGATGGAGGATCATTCTAGCATCCTTATCCGCCCAACTCCTGCACATGTGGCAACCCGAATGCAAAATCTCGATCAAGCCGTGTAATCCGAGAGTAAACGGGCGCTGCTATTGGCTGGAGCCGTGATTAATTAGGCGCCAATTGCTAGCATTATCAACGAGCCTTCCATTCCTCCTCGTCCCTGTCTCACGGTCTCACCTCACGGCACGGGCTGCCAATTCCATCCAAAAGGAGGAAGAGGAAGAGGCTAGCTGCTGCGGACATTCGAGACGCCAACGCCGAGGCCTGAGGTAAGATGTTCCAATCTAATCTCATCTTTGCTTTGATTTGCCCTGCGTCTTGGTTGTCAGGTTATTAGATCTGAGCTTTCTCCTCTGTTTCCAGGAGCAGATCCCTGTCTTTATTTTGCTATATATGTTTGCCTGATGCATGATACTAGTATGTATAGAGAAAAGTTTGGATTTTGATCCCGCGTCTCTATGGATTGAAATCTGTAGCCTTGTTTATCAGGAATCGAGAGTCAACAGAAGCTGTTAATTTCTTAGGGTTGCCTGTAATAATAATTGGCTCAACTGTAATCATTGCAACAATAAAGCAATTGAAGGATGATTGGATTTTTCAGTATTTCAAATGACAGTTCAACTTACCATACATTACACAAGCAAAGAAAACATCTTTGCAACTGAACAGTTTGTCCATCCATGACATACCCACCAATTTGACCAACATGTGTAATGGAAAATGTATTGGTGATTAGACGGACCTTGTTCTAATAAACTCCTTTCCCTTTGTTTGTCACGCTGAAACATTTTAAGCGGCACTGCCAGGTCAAGCTAAAGCCCCTTTCCTGCTGTTTTAAGAAATTATTAACTCTATACGGGAAATTCCCCAGTTGCCAAATGTCGGATGCGGACGAGTACCGTTGCTTCGTTGGAAGTCTTTCGTGGTCTACTACTGAAGCAGATCTGAAGGACGCATTTAGGAAATTCGGCCATCTTACTGAGGCAAAGGTATCAAATTGGTTTCTTTTATATGATGAGTTGAGTGTGCATTTGTAAAGGGAAGCATAGTGCCATAGTTATATTATTGTAGACGAATGAATGAATGTATTTTATTATGTAGTATTGGTTTATTCTACTCCAAGAACAGCAGACAATTTGCAATTTATTCTGCAAGTATTTGCCATATATACATGGCATGATTTACCATTTTCTCCCTCTATTTTTGGTATGGTTGAACACGTTCCATTAATATTCTTATTATGATGTTGTGTCAATCTGCAGGTGGTTCTTGATAAGTTTTCTGGTCGATCACGTGGATTTGGTTTCGTGACTTTTGATGACAAGAAGTCTATGGAAGAAGCAATTGAGGCAATGAACGGAATGGATCTGGATGGAAGGAACATCGCTGTTGAAAGAGCTCAGGCTCAGAGTTCAGGCAGCAGGGACCGTGATGGAGATCGAGATTATAGTCGTGGTGGTGGTGATCGTGACCGCTACCGTGGTGACTATAGCCGCAGTCGGGACCATGGTCGTGATTTCGGTGGAGGCCGTGGCGGCGGAGGTGGTGATTGCTTCAAATGTGGCAAGCCTGGACATTTTGCAAGGGAATGCCCTTCTGATGATGGTGGCAGGGGGGATAGGTATGGTAGCAGGGATGACAAGTATGGTGGCAGTAATGGTAGTAGCCGCTATGGGCCTGATCGTGGTGGTGATCGCTATTCTGGAAGCCGTGATGGAGGAAGCCGCAATGGTGGAGGCAGTGACCGATACAACCGTGACAAGTCTGGTCCTTATGAACGCCCCAGCCGAGGTGGATACAGATCTTGATGTTTGCAAGGCTGTGATCTCAGGTATGAAAGCTAATTTATGATTTTAAGTAAGTTGTATGTTTGCTTCATCATCACATAATGCAGCAAATGTTGCTGTAGTGTACTATCATAAGAGTTTCAGCTGTGCTTGTTTTTACCAATCTTGTTGTCTGTATTTGGCTTGTAACTACTGGTTCCTCAGGAGCTTCTGTGGATTGACTAGTTTCCATCTGATTATTATCTGGGACTGAGATCCATGTCTCTCTGTTGATCTGATGGTAAAAATCATGTCATGGTACTGGCCCTTGGTCCTGTTTGTTTGGATCGGTATGGATTCACTGGGGTGTTGGTACCAAGGATGTTGGAGAACAATCATGCTCAGTCTGATTGCGATCTTGAGGGAGAAAGCAGTATGCCGTGCTGGGGTACCATCTGCTTGTAAAACATGTTCATTCACGAATTATAAGAAGGAAAAAGAGGGTAAATTCTTGACTTTTGTTCACAGGATTGTTCGATTTTATTTTGCCTGTTAATAAGCAACGGTTCTCACATCAATTTTTCGCAGGCATTTGGCCTTTCTGTACCTGTATATGTATATTGATCTGCATGGCTTAAATAATGTCTCTCTATTTGTCCATAATTCTGAGTGCTTTGTAACACTGTTGGATGGCGTTGATATGTTTTCTAGCTCAGCCCTGTTAAGCGAGCATGGCCCATCTACATTGAGAACCTGGAACAGGAGCTGTTCTGTGTGGAGCCTCACACATATCTAAAGCTTGCTGGGGATTCTTGATTCTTTTGAGTGACCACAGATGCATCCTTTTTTTTCTTCTTTTGTGCAAAATGACCTTTGTAGCTGGAGGTTCCTGAACAGGGAACTGATCCTTTGGCAGCAGGAGTGTTGAGGGTCCTGATATATACTAGTATAGTATGCACAGGAGTGGCTGCAAAATACAGACTATTGTTGACAGGTTTGAACCTTGCTATTTGGGATGTTCCCTGAATATCAATATATGGCCTGCTCCTGCTGGTTCACTTGACTATTATATTTGTATTATGTTGTGTTTTTGATTTGTGAGTGGTTTGCATTGGCACCGAGTACAATTGTCAAATGTAAATGGATAGATGTCATCGCATTTGAAGCCTGCTACACACCAAATAAATAAATCAGTGCCGTCTCTCTCTCTCTCTCTCTCTCTCTCTCTCTCTCTCTGTCTCTGTGCCTCAGCGCAACGTCATGCACCTGGCCGGCTGCCCCAATCCCAGCGTTGTCTCGGTGCATTTATCGTACACAGTAAATAAGTACTTTCCTCTGTTTTACTGTAGTAAATTTAACCATCTATTTTTTCATCTAAAAAATCTTAGATACTTTAATGTATATAACACTAATAAAGTATGTTCAATAAAGAATCATATACATGAAAACTTGATGTATCTAAAAAAAAATCTTTTACAGAAAAAAAACGTATAGTCAAAATTACTACAGTAAAAATTCAAAAACAGAGGTAGTACATGTTGGATATGTGCTTACATTTTGGGTTGGTGACTTTCACAGACACAAAATGGACTAATAATTATTATTATGAGTGGCCAAAGGAACAACAATATGATACTTTTGTGCTTTGAATAATGGCAAAGGAAAAAAAAAGACCAAAAATTGTTTAAAAATCTTCAGACCTACCGGATTCGAACCAGCGACCTAAGGATTGATCCGCAGACACTAGTCTCCGCTCTAACAACTGAGTTAATGGGACTGCTCCTCCATCCTTAAGGCCTTATTTAGATTGCAAATTTTTACCATATAGACACTATAGCACGTTTCGTTTGTATTTGACAAACTTTGTCCGATCATGGACTAACTAGGCTCAAAAGATTCGTCTCGTAATTTACAACCAAACTGTACAATTAGTTATTTTTTTTACCTACATTTAATGCTCCATACATGCGTTCAAAATTTGATGTGATGGAAAGAGAGTGAAAAAACTTAGAATTTGGAGGTGATCTAAACAAGGCCTAAAATATACTACACTCCAGCACTAACTCCCATAACTTCAGCCGCAAATGCACAAACAGCCCATACCGACACATGTAGCGTCAACTCCGATAACTTCAGCTACAAATGCACAAACAGCCCATACCGACACATGTAGCGTCAACTCCGATAACTTCAGCTACAAATGCACAAACAGCGCATACTGACACATATGTACACCACCACGGCACCACATAAATCACACCAGCACCAGCATGCTGCTCCCATTGCTAAAACACCACTTGTACTATAAGTTGTGTATAACAAAAAAAAAGGACCCCTTGCCCTGGGTACGTATGTATTTTTCATCCCTCTGATTTCTTTTGCATCTTTGCTCTAGAACGACGACTGGGTCCCTTCGGTGCCTGTTAAAAACAACATATGCTCAGGGTCACTGTTATTGTATTAAACAAAAAAAAAAAGACATTGCAAGTGGATCTCAAGAAACAATAGCTCCAACTTTATCTGTTTATTATCACTACCATTCTCATATAAGAGTTTGCACGGGCATTATAGTGGCTTATACTACCTGAATATAGTGTAGAATATCTTGGAGTTCTATAATGATCTCTGCAAAAGTCGGACGCACATCAGGATCTTCATCCCAACACTGTCGAATCAGTTTGGTCAATCTTGGGTGCACGCTGGGCGGAGTGTCCAAGCGCAATCCCTAAAGGAAGGTAACGAATGTGTATTAAGGAACAAAGAAGTTCAATTCAACAAGAATCTCCCAATAAATGCAATGGATTACAGAAACCAGTTTCAGAATGCTGATTGCTATGTTTTACACGGTGATGTTGATTTTATTGTCATAAAAAAATGGCAATAGTAATATATATTCATGATACGTTTACAAAACCAGCATCATCAATAAAGACATCTACCTAGAAAATGGGCTTAGCCTGTATTTGGGACAGAAATCCATACCTGCCTTACTCCTAATGCAGCTTGCAAGGGTGTCATGTTGTCATATGGGACCTATGGTACAGTTAAGACTTCACGTTATCTTTAGTAAACAGAATACTAATGCTTAAACGACCTGGAAGTAATCTCAAGCTGCATTCGACACCAAGCCCTACCTTTGAAGTTGCAAGCTCCCAAAGAACAATGGCAAAGCTGAATACATCCGCTTTGTAGTCATACGGCTTATGATTAATTATCTGTCAAGACAACCAACTCTTGTGAGCACGCTATTCAAATACAATGTTCAAGGTATAAACTTTATTTAAGGGGGGCAAGAGGATTTGTTGTCTTTGGGAACAGAAATTCCTGAACTTGAGACAGAGAGATACAAAACAAACTTCATTTGTTTGCCTTGTTTCAGGGAAAAGGATGGGACACATCTGCTGAATATTAAACCATGCAACAAGTAAAATGAATTAAAGTGTACATGACTTAAAAAAGAAGTCAAGTCATTTAGGCCAATTTGCAGGGTTTGGCAAGGAATTTGAAACAGCCTTCTACAGAGTCAAAGAGTCTAACAAAATGTCAAGCTAAATCATCTGTTCATCGAGACCAAACCTCAGATGATGAGGATTCTCTCGAGGAAATAAGAAGTTCACATGCAACTCTTGAATCAATACTTGCTGACCTTGCAGATAACATAATAACTAAAACTAAAAGATTGGATAGAACTTTTGGCATATTTGGTAACAATTAGGAGTTTCTGTTAGATGAACAATGAAGTACAGGTCAGAATGAAACGAATGAAACACTATACTAACGAAAGACAAACCACTTCTCCAAGAGGGAAAGACTGTGTTGTATGTTAAAAAAGCATGAACGGCCTTATCATCGTTGTTGCGTACTATCGCAAGATTACGATCTCGTATTGACTGGCTAAGAGATGGGGACGCCAACACGGCCCTCTTCCACCTCCACGCCCGGCACTGGAAGAGAAAGAATTTCATTCCTAAGCTTGTGGCAAATGGCAATATCCTCACAAGACTGGGAGACAAGGAGCAGGCAGCTTTTGATTTCTACAACAGTTTGTTAGGAACCGCTGAACAGCGTGACATCTCAATTGACCTTGAACAGCTGGAGCTGCCGCCACAGGACCTTCAGGAGTTAGATGCCTTCTTTACCAAAGAAGAGGTGTGGGAAACGATCAAAGGTATGCCTTCTGACAAAGCCCCTAGCCCGGACGGTTTTACCGGCCGTTTCTACAGGAGTTGTTGGCCCATCATCAAATCAGATATTATGGCGGCCCTGATTGCAGTTCAGTGTGGCAATACTCAGAACTTGTGGATGCTCAACTCAGTATTTCTCACCCTCATTCCAAAAAAGAAGGCAGCAGATCAGGTCAAGGACTTTCGGCCCATCAGCTTGATTCACAGCTTTGCTAAGTTGGTAACCAAGATTTTGGCCAATCAGCTGGCCCGTAAACTTCATGATTTAGTGGCCAACAATCAGAGCGTCTTTGTCAAAGGAAGATGTATACAAGACAACTTTATGTTGGTACAGCAGACCGCCCGGTTCTTTCACCAACAAAAACTCCCTCGCATTCTTCTCAAGCTGGATATAACGAATGCTTTCGACTCTGTGTCATGGCCTTTTTTGTTAGAGGTGTTACGACATCAGGGTTTCAGAGATAGATGGTGCAGTATCATCAGCGGCATCCTTTTCTCTTCTTCCACGAAGATTCTACTTACCAGGAAATTCAACACCAACGGGGACTGCGACAAGGCAACCCGCTGTCTCCTATGTAGTTCATATTGGTCGTGGATGTTCTTAATGCGATTGTACAGAAGGACAATGACATGGTGCTGCTTCAACCTTTAACACGACACCCTCTCCAACATCGGGTTTCCCTATACACGGATGACATGGTCACGTTCCTCCATCCGGTTGCTACAGATATTGACCTTGTCATGGATATCTTACGGGTATTTGGCGCAGCTACGGGGCTGAAAACGAATATTCAAAAGAGCAGTGTCACCCCCAATTCGCTGCACCACCGAGGAATTGGATTTTGTACAACAGCAGAT